TTTTTTTTTTTTTTTTTTTTTTTTTTTTTGTTTGGTTTAGTTATGGATCGAATGACCGAACAACAATAAAAATAATAAAAAGTTGCACGTTTAGTATTGAAATTTTAAAAATTTGTGAGTTCACAAACTTTTGATATTATATTTAGTATGATTTTTGAAAATGTTTAATAAGTTGTTCAAACGCTTCATTGTCATCACACCCCTTGATAGAGAAACCGTCACGGTCTAAAGATGACAACCTTATTTAGATTTCTAAATGTTTCATTTGACGTGCATGATTCGTTGAAGAATTTGCCACTTCGTTTCCTTCCTCGAGGTGTGAAGATGACATGCTCACCTGAGTTTCATTGTAGTGAATTGAGCCCTTCAACCAACCAAAGGAGTTCCTTTTAGGGAAATTGGAGTGTATTAGTAAGAGTTGTTTCAAAGGAGCATTTTTAGACAGATTCGTTTTGGTTCTTTCAATAATCCATCTAAAAAAATGAACAAAGTGCTCCTTTCCTTTAGTTAAATAATAAGTTATCTCATTACAAGAAGCAACATCACACGTGACGCCACAGTGTTCAGTTGACCATTGCCATGGGGACCCTCCTCTGCTGCTCTGGCTTTCACGAAGGGCTCTGCACAGGAAAAAGAAACAACGATATGATAATAATTTCAATCAATTCATGAAATTTATCGTAACTTCTTTTCATTATCATGATTCAATTCTTTAATAATTGTTGCGACACATTTCCTTTAGAAAAAGTCCATCCATTCACGTGATAAAAGATGGATTTAGAATGTGCTCGATAGCCTCTAAAGTTATAGATCTAGAGCTACCTCTATATCTAACAAATAGTCGAGATGTATGTAAGTTAATCCTAACATTCACAATTTTTTTTTTTAAAAAAAAATCTTCGAATATTAGAGAGAATTACCAAAAACCGCTTCCTAAAGTTATCAACATGCTCCCGTGGGTCGCCCTTCGTTTGTTGGTAACCCTCGATCTTGTTCATCTCCTAGAAACAGAAAGTGAGCCAATATTTTGAGCAAAAGTTGTAAAGATATTATTCATTTTACAAGAAATGATGAGATCAATGTATGAAAATCATGATTTATAGCCATCCCAATTGCTCTTGGTTACATCATTCACAAGTCTTATGATTGACGAAGAGTAGACTAAGAAAGTTCTTAAAGATCAGAAAGGGATGTTCTCAGTACCTCAATCCAAGCTGCCAGCTTTGGCCTGCCAGCCGTGATATCATATGTTTTTACTTCCAACAAGAACGGCTGATACCTTTCAATAAAGGGCGCATAAGCTATATCCACCTGAGAGCCAACAAAAATTATACCATATGGGACAACATCGGTAACAACTCAAACTCATCATTAACAGATCTTGTCTGTTTTGGGCTTTCCTTTCTGAACTTCTCCTCAAAATTTTAAAACGCGTTAATAAGGAGAGGTTTCCACACTCTTATAAGGAATGTTTTGTTCTCCTCTCTAACCGACGTAGGATCTCACAACATCCATCAACGTAATGAAAGACGTTACTTACCAAACTAAACTGACCTAGAAAAAATGGGCCATCTCCATATTTTGAAAGAGCTGATTCGATGTAGTCGAACGCTACGTCTGAGAAAAGATATATCATTTAAATGATTCAACTTGGTTTTCGTGTAAAAAGGACATGGAAAAGGAAGGAGCTGCTGCTAATATCTTACCAGCTTCATTTCGATCTCCTTTAAATGAAGACACCACGGATCCCCTGAAAGAGTTCACGTAGTTCATCAATTCTTCAGCAAACTCTCTCCTTCCCTGATCCTATATATTCAGATTTAGGATGCTTCAGTACTAATGGATATTTTACTCAAGCTGATGAGGCATCACAAAATTCTTACCTCAGGAAATAATGAAGGCCCCTCAAAATTGCTGTCAATATATCTAATTAAGTCAAGACTCTCTCCTTTGACTTCATTATTATGTTCAAGAGCTGGCACCTGCACTAATAATCGGAAGTCAAAAACATAAAAGAGGAAATAGATAGACAGCAGCTTATTTTGTTATTTCCCCTTCATGGACAAATAAAACTTAATTGTTGTTATTTGACTAACATGATTATAATTCATATATTGTGAGATTCCACGTCGGTTGGGGAGGAGAACGTAGCATTCTTTATAAAAATGTAAAAACCTCTCCCTAGCAGACACATTTTAAAAACCATGAGAATATATTGTCTTGTTTGGGCTTTCCCTTTCGAGCATCCCCTCATCGATTGGAGAAGGGAACGAGTACCAGCGAGGACGTTGGGGCCTTGTAAGGAGGGTGGATTGTGAGATCCAACGTCGGGATGGGGAGAAGAACGAAACATTCTTTATAAGGTTTGGAAACTTCTCTCTCGCAAACACATTTTAAAAACTTTGAGGGGATACTATCCTCTTTGGGCTTTCCCTTCAGGCTTCCCCTCATTTGTTGGAAAAGGGAACGAGTGCCAGCGAGTTCGCTACGCCCTGAAGGGGGTGGATAATGAAATCCCACATCGGTTGGGGAGGAGAACGAAACATTCTTTATAAGGGTGTGGAAACCTCTCACTAGCTGACGCGTTTTAAAAAACTTGAGGGAAAGCTCGAAAGAAAAAACCCAAATAAGACAATATATGTTAGCGATGGACTTAGGCCATTACGTTAAAAATCTTTACCTTGTTAGGTGGGTAAACTTTTTCCTTGTACCAAGATGGCCTATCTCGTAGATTTATTGGAACCAATTGTATCTTATTCTGCAAACCCTGCTCCAAAACAATATTATGAACATATGATTAATGTCAGAGAGAGCCATGTTGATTCTCAAAATGCATCAAAAGAGATAATAACCTGACATGAGAAACAACAAAACATGCCTAATAGTGAAAGTTGTTTGGCGAGTGAGAGAAATAACCTTACAGTTCCGAGTAATCCAGACACGCTGCGCATAAGGGCATGTATAAGATATGTAAAGCCTACAATGTTGAAGAAAATAGAAGGATTATCAGCATCACATAGACATCCAAACGAAGCATAAAATCGGCACAGCATTTGTATATATAACAAGGAATTTGCATATGATAAAATGAATGTTAAGAATGGATGCCTGAAAACTGAACCAACCTCGTTGTTCCATCAAAGATGGGAGGTGGTTCTGAAGCAGAAGTGAGGGCTGGAGGAAGAACTTCCTGAAAAGCTCTTTCAAATATACAAAATAAAAGGTGAAAACACAAAAAGAAATCTAAATCAAATCAATAATATAGATTCGACCAAATCGCTTCTCTTATTTAGAACTTTGCAACTTTTCCTATGAACCGTCAAGAACATTATTGAACTCAAAATTGTACTATCAATTTTGTAATAGAATCTTAATCCTCGATTCCGTTAAATTTCTTATGCCATCCAACATTCAAATACCCGAAAATCATTCGTTTCGATAGCATTAGGGAAAAAAAAACAAAAACAAACAAATTTAACATTCGCTATTCGAAGGAACAGAAAGAATTTCATTATAACAGAGAAGGAAGGGAATAAGTTAAACATACTCAGCAGCAGCCATTTTCACAGAAATTACAGGTCTGACTCTTCTTCGAGATACTTGTCTTTGAAGCTTAAGAGGAGAAATAATGATGCTGGAGAAGCTTAATCTCCGGGATGAAAACGGAATGCAAGGAAGTGAAACATCTGAGCAAGACGATGGGTGTGAGACGCCGATGGGGCTGCCCAGTGTCCAAGTCGCCATGATTATGATAATATTATGAGCAGTTCTTGGTGCACGCTGCAAGATGAAAAAATAAAAATATTATTTATCAATTTCCTTTCTCTAGGATTCTGATTTGCCTGTTTCAGCTGAAATTGTAGTGATGTCTTTTACCAAGATTAGATACTCATATATAATTTTAGTTCTTAAAACATTTATTTGTTCATTTTTAAATATTTAATTAAATTTTGCAAATCTCTCTTCATATATATATATTTTGAAAGATTACTTTTGAAATAAAAAATATATTTTAAAATTAACAAAATTTGATTAACTCAATTTAGTTTTAGGGTCAATTTTTATTTCCAATTTTAAATTTGATAAATAATTATGTATTGTTTTTTTAAAATAATAAAAATATTAATAGAAAAACTAATACTTAATTTTTTAATACATTCAAAACAACATAATTCAATAGAAAAGATATCTATTATCATTTCGACTAAAATGGTATTTTTTTATTTGATTTTGTATTTATATTCCCTACAAAAAAAATATATATATTTAATATTCATACATTTAACTAATGAAATTCTTTACCCATGATCTAAAAAAATAATCTTGTCAGTATCGGTATAAATAATCTTTCCCCCATGTTTGGCTATAGTAGCAACTCCTAAATCTCGAGCCACGTGGCGTCCCAACCCGAGACTGCTTGACATTATTAACATTATTACTCATTTTTAGTACATTATTTTTATAATTAAATAACTTAAATACGTATTAGAAGTTGAGTTGATGTAGGTGGATTAAAATTTGGTTTGAAAATTGAAATATATTAAAAATATATATATATATATATAAAAGTAGGGATTGAAGAGTCATGAAATATTATCTATGTCTCTATAGAATTGACAGAAATGTGAATAAGGAGAATTTCTTAGAGAAAAACAGTGGTGGTGCTTACTGCTATACATGAAAAAGGAAAACACGAAAGTAAAAAAGAAGAAAAAATAAAGAGGGGAAGGGGAAGGGGAATGGGAATGGGTATAGAGAAAAGGGGTCATGGTGGTTTCCAATTTTTCCTCTTCTGAACACAAAAAAGAAAAAAGAAAAAAAAAAAAAAAATAACAACTTTGCAATACAAATGAGAAAAAAATGGGGGTTGGTGGATGGAATGGATGTAAAAGCACATGAGATGACACCTGCTGCTCATTCATATGATATGATGATATGATGATGCTAACAACGCTTCATAAACTACGATCTAGCCAGGATCCCAGAACCTCCTCTGATTGAAAGCATTGGTCCGTAGCTCGGACTTCGACTAATCAAATGCGAATCGAGGAACAATACTACAACAGTTATGTCATCGTGAAAATGCCTTCTTACCCCGCGGTCGATCTTCTTCAAGTCTGTGTATCTCATTTCTCTTTTCTTTGCAGCTCCGTGAAGAGCCGCTTTAACCAGTTTCCTTGCAACCCCCTGTAATAAGTTAGATTATGAACTTTTAATATTGTATTTAATACGTCCTTAGAAGCTCGCCAATGGAAAGAAATCTTTTCTACAGTGAGAGGTAGTCTACTCAAATGTAGAGAAATGACTATAACAGAGTTTCACAGCTACTCTAGGAGGAATTTTTTTTTTGTAGCTCTAGAATACTTCCGTTTATGCTCCTACCTATTATCTGAATAAACCAAGAAAGATGTACTGTCTAATGAGACTAGTAGAAAATATTTACTCATGGGTTGGGCAATTCTTCTATTCTGGTTCATGGTTTCTCTTGGCTGGCTATATGGTTCATCTAGGGGAGTGATCGATTTTCAAGAAATAGTAAATGGTCTTCTCAATACACAAATGTATGACTTGAAATAGTACATCACCGTAGGAATTGGGTTCAAGCTTTTCCTAGCCCTTTCTCATCAATGGACTCCTAACGCATACGAAGGAGTGCAGTTCGTTCGATAAATTCCTACCATCTCTGAGATGTTTGGATTTTTCAAAACTGAAGAAAAATAATATACCAAGAAGCAAACAGAAGAGTCTAGCAAAGATAGAGCAAAAGAAAACATACGTTACGTGGACAACTATGGACGATATCGACAGCTTCCTGATTGCTTATATACTCCCAAAGACCATCTGAAGCAAAGATAAGGAACTGATCCTCCGGATACAGTTTCTGCACTACAATAGCAGGCTCGGCTTTAAGAATAGGCTTGTGGAATGGTTCTGGTAATCTGAACTTGGGCAAGAGAGGCTCTCGGTTGAACTCTGTTTTCTTCAGGTAAGCATCACCAAGGGATCTTGAGACCTACATCACCAGGAGAGTGACACTTTCTAGTAGGGAAATAATTTTTGAATTTTATATCAAGAACGAACGAACAAACAAACAAACCTGTATAACACCCTTCACGCGCCACACCTTGTGCTTTAGCACAACGATCTGCGGATCACCGGGATGCAACGAGTGCAGCTCCTCTCGCACAGATTCAATACTAGCATTGTGCTCAGATGACAATTGGATGGCTTTAACCTCTTTATGAGTTTTTTCAAATCTTCCCAACACCACTCTAGAATCTCCAGCATTTGCAATATACAGTAATCCACAACATATTATGCCTACCAAACAGCATGAACCAACCGAAGCAATTTGAGGCTTACTAAGCCATTGTTTCTTTACAAGAGACAAAAATTCCTCCTCTGTCTCCAAGAATGCTTTGTTTATAATTTCAGCAGATACTCCCCGATTTTCTGGAATAAATTCTGCACCATGAAAAGCTGTCAAATGTAAACATTCCAATTAGCTATATAATGAAAATTGGTAGGAGACCATAAAACCACTCACTAACTCACAACCACTCTCCAGGAAAGACCAATATACATCTTTCCTTCCATCATTTGCTTTCGGAACTCTATACTAATTTCCGCTACGATCTAGATGTTTTAGGTACAAGAACATACTTTCGATTCCCGTATTGCAGATTCCCAAAACATTTGATAAGTCACCGAATTCGGAATCAAAAGAATAATGTCACTTTCCTCTAAATCAGCACTATCAAATTCAACATATTGTTGAAGGCAAGATACTTTCGGTCGAACGAAAATGCTGAGGTCTACAAATCATCTCTCGCTCTATTTTACTCATTTTGACAAAAAAGACAAATTTCACAGGATGCAATGGTTTCTCTCAAGCACAGAAAACATCCATTTCCTCTTAATAGTTCCTTGCATATGGCTCAATCTCATGTCCTTCAGCTGAGACAATCAAATCCTTCTCTAATCCATCATATAAGTCAATGTGAGTATATATAGAAAAGAAACAGAACCCGTTTCATTGACCGATGGAATAGAATACAAAAGGAAGTCCTTTCTGTAAAATAGTTATAAAAATTAAATCCATTCTGATAAAATGATGAAGCAATATTCATGTCTCAAGATCAGGATCCGTTAACAGTGATTCTCCGTCAGAGTTCATCGACACACTTTTCAAAAGTCATCACAAACTTGATATTAGACTACAAACTTAGATGTTGATCTAACTAGGACAATCAAATGATATGCACAGAAACATTCTGCATAAGTAAATGTAAGACTTACTCTTCATATTATTGAACAGACGATCACTTATGAATTCTGCAGCTTCAGGTCCTCCATGGCCATCATAGATTCCAACGAACGTCCCAATGGGACCTGATTCAAATGAGCTCAGTGGCCCTGACTCGAGTTGGCTACGATCTTCCAACAAATTATTTGCCTGAATAACAGCCATTGAGAATTCCCCATTAATATGGCGGCCAGAATCCTTGTACCATAACAATCCATCAACCCGACCACTCGCATCCCCACCTCTGCTGGAATTTTCACCTTCAACAGAAGGTTTCCAGCAAGGTGATACAATCTTCATCAAAGTTTCTGATACCATCCCTTACATATTCTCACCCAAATGATCCAGCACCAAAAACCATTCTTCGAACCGAGCAGAAGGATAGTATTAAAATCAGAAGTTCGCTTGATTTCGTTCACAAATATAGGAATCGAAATAACAAGTTTCAGATATCAGAAAGTCATTGATCAAAGCAGAAACCATTAATGTTTCAATCAGAAAACATTGAGTTTCGTGATGGTTATACGTAGGAAAACTGCAAACACAATGGCACAATAAATGAAAAGACAATTCAAAATTCACAATATAGAACAGTATATAACTAAAATTCAATCGCTAAGTTTACAAAATTGAACCTATGAACAATAAAGAATACAAAAACACCAATAACAAACCTTGATCACTGATTTCCGATAGATCTTGCAGGCCCTTTTCTGCAGAACTGCTCAATTACAGACGGATGAACATATTATATGATGAACTAAAAAAGGGAATCGATTAAAAGAAATTCGGGTGTTCTGACAGAAGGAAAAGAACTGTCAGAACGTTGAAATGGGTAGATCTGGAAAGAGAGAATTCCTGAAGCTTAATTGGCCCTCCTCCTCCTCAGGGTCCTTCCTTTTCTTTTCTATTTTCTATTTTCTATTTTCTTTTTTCTTTTTCTGTTTCTTTGAGCCAAAGAAACAGATGGATCACTCTCCAACAACAGAACCCCTTTGGTTTGGAAACAATTTAAGAAACTAAAAAAGGAACCTCCCTCTCGGAGGGCTCTTCTTGGCTGACTAAATCAGGCACTTTTCGGTTACGGTTTTCTAATTTATTGCCCGGACTTTTTGACTTTGACCTTCAACGAATCCGCCATTCTTGGCAAAAAGGAAGAATAGCAAAAACCCTAAGAAAATATGAATCGAAGCAATTCCAAAAACAAACAAAAGAAAAGATCCTCAGATCACTTTCTCGAGAAAATGAGGGTAAATTTTCCGGGAAAAGTTAGGAGAGAGAAATCGAAAAGGAGAGGAGCGAGAAATGAAATGATAATAAACCCTTCGAATTCAAAATCAAATGTAGAATCGTTTGCCTTCTCTTCGCTGGTAAAATCGGCCGTCGATTCGTTCAGAAAGGTACTGATCTGGCACAAACATCTGGCATTCGAAAATTCAGAAATTCCATTTCGCATACATTC